AAAAATATTGAAAGTTTTGAAAATGTGTTTTCACATGGATTTCTTAAGCACAAATATTATTTTCTTGCATTTATGGATTTTACAATATGTTTGTAAAATTCCAATGGGTGTTGGCCAATATTCCAAAAAAATATAAAAATCTTATTTTGGGGGAAATTCATCTATTATTCACCACTAATGTTTGGATAAAGAAATCCTTAAAGGATGAATATCCAAAATATTGTTGGGAATAACTTGTTATTATTCACTGTTAATATTTGGATAAAGAAACCCTAAGTGGTAAATATCCAAAATAATTTTCTAGGGATAATAAGTCATCATACATCCTTGAAAGAAGCCTCAATTATAATTAAGGACATTTCAACTTTTGATTCCACAATTTACAAGCCGTGAAAGTATGAAACACTAAGGCAAAACGAGTCTTTTAAAATGCTTTGAATTTCCTTAGATTTTGAAATCTTTGTCCTCCCTATTTGCGATTTACGAGTCGCAAACTCTAGAAATACCAAGGGAAAAATGATCTTCTAAAGCACATTGAATCTCCTTGGATTTCTTTCTTAATAAATTTAGTTAGAATCAAATCGAGAAAAACTAATGGGATTAGAAAATACCAACACCATAGCAATTATAAGACAAACTAAACACCAAGCAGCTTACCTTAGGTAAAGCGTACTAGGGGTGCTAACACCTTCCCTTTACGCAACTAGTCCCTTGCCTTAGAATCTCTGAAAGACCAGTTAGGTTTCCTAGTGACCATAATACTAGGTGGCGACTCCCTTATACACAAAAATAAAACTAAGAGACCTCTAAATCAATCGAGGATCGTTGCGACGCCACGCTCCGCTCGCAAGGGTGCGACAAAGAGTACATATTTGAAGACATGTCAAATGGACAAAACCATAGATGTGCACAACCCTAACCGAATATTTCTCGGATTTGATGCAAAGCTGAAGTGGACACGATTAAACTCCTTCCATGCCTCCCCATCAAATGGGTGCACCATAACCCCATTATCTGACTTATGAAAATGATGCCATGTCATATCTTTAGCATGATATAGAGACATGAACAGTCTCTGAAGTCTTGGTGTTAAGGGAAAGTATTGGAGTTGCTTCTCCGCCTTATTGGAACCTTTACTAGTTGGATTTCTGGGTTTGTATCGTGAACTTCCACAAAAATCACAATTTATTTTCATTGCATCTGCCCCATAGTAAAGCATACAGTAATTAGGACACACATCATATTTCTCATAACCAAGTCCAAGTGGCCGCATAAATTTCTTGGCATCATAACAATTTGAAACCAAATTTTCATCATTAAGCATGCAACTTTTTATAAAATCAATAAAATTGTTGAAGGCATTTTGAGTCAAATTTAAAGTTGACTTCATATTAAGCAATTGTACACAAGTAGATAATTTTGATTGCTTGGTACACCCATCCCACAACAGCTCCTCCGCAGCTTTCAAAAGCTTAAAAAATTTAGTTGCCTCCGGATTTGGAATTTCCCCTACTACATAGGACTAGACACATTATCATTATAAAATGCATCACCAACCCCCATTGCGTCCATAACCAGATTCCTATATGGATTCTCTAGACAAACATCATTCACAACATGACTCATTCCAATCGATGAAGGTCCAGCCAATATTGGTTTTGCGACATAAGGCTCCCTATATACAATCCAATTTTCATAACAAGGTAAAAAACCTTTTGTCAATAGATATTTATAAACATCATTTTCCTTTAAAAAGTTTTGATTTTTGCACCTCACACAAGGACATCTAATTTTTTCCCTAGATATATTTTTATCAACTGAAAATGCAAAATTGATAAATCTTCTAACACTGGTAATGTATTCAGGATGAAGGCGACTATCCATAAGACGACGATACATCCACGATCGATCATCCATGTTAATCTAATTAACAGGACAACACCAATAAGCATTTTTAGAAATAAGCGTACTTCTTTAACTACTAGTACTTAAACAATCCTTTAAAATAAAACATCTACCACATAAATAAACTATAATTATTTATCTAGTTCACACATATATCAAGCAAAAAAAATGTTAATGATTGGATATATGCACATGTGTTTGTAAGAACTTGGATAACTATTTTTCTTCTGCTCTTTGTTATTGAGTTTTTAATTATATGGGCTATTTAGTGTGACAATATGAGTGTGTGAGGAATTCACATTGCCATGGTGATGCTTTATCACCCATGGTCATAATACGTGATTAATAACACATTCACAGCTTGGAAATAAAGTTTATTTTATTTTAATCACAGCTTGGTTCAACTACAATTGGTTTAAAGACCGATTATACTATTTATCAAATAAATTGGTCTCTTTTACTTTTTTTATTTAATTTTAATTTTAATTTTTAACTAAAGTCTCCCTTCCCTTTGCCTCCAGGATGGAAGTACAAAAGGACCATCCATCATTTCACGAGGAAGGTGGAGGGGATTTACCTTGCATTTTTGCTAATTGCTTTAAATAAATCTTAATAATTTTCATTTATATTTTCTAACTAGTGACAAAAGTAGACTTTTAGATTATGTTTAGTTAGTATTTTATACAGAATAAACAGATAAAGAAAAAAAATATTTAGTGAAAAAAATATTAAATAAATTTATCTTTATAGTAATTTTGGAGTTCATTTTTTTTATTGGTCCTTCTAATTTTTGTTACCACCTCAAATAGTTTTTTTTATTTTTATTGGATCCATCAAACTTTTTATTTTTATTCGGATATTTTTTGGTAAACTAAGAAATGGTAAATGAAATCATAATCATTTATTCAGATCTTTTTATTTTTATTCCAACATTTGTATCTTTGTCTCTTAGTCATATACATTGTATCTATCTTTTATATCATAGTGAAATAATAATTATAATATTGATGGATGAAAATATAAATACATTTGTTTTATAAATTCTTTACACACAGTCCAATTTAGTTAATTTCATGTACTAGTAGATTTGTTGCCTTCTTTCTTCTCTTAATAGGTATGGAGCATAATATTATTGTTAATTAATTAACATGAGCAAACTGGAAGAGAAATGTTGTCTTCTTAATCTCAACGTCACAATATGTTTCAAGAGTTGACAAGTAGCACGACATTTAAATTTGCAATTAATTGATATATTATTCAGCCACCTCTAGGTTTCATTTTGGTCTCATAATTTTCATCCAAAAGAAACTCAATATCAGATTTAATGAAAGAAAAACATTCAATTAGTTTTCTTATACAAACTGTCAAAATTGTCCCAATGAAAGGCAGAGTTCCAATTACTTGAAAAGATTACAATAGAAATGCCCTGCAGAAAAATTATGCATGATATAATTAAGCAACCATGTAAAAATGGAGCAAAATAGACTTACCCAAGCCCCAAAAATCAATGGCCCAAGGTGGAGGTTTTCTTATTGCAACCCAATCAGATTTAGCTAACTCTATTGGATTATATTGTGATCTAATAAGCCATTCATATTGCTGGAAAAATAAAAAACATAAACAGTATGTTACACCCATCAAGTTATAACAATTGCTAGTCTTTAAAACAAATCCAAGTTAAACTATGAAAAATAGAAAGCATATCCAAGTTAAAGTATGAATTTTTAATATTTTTTTGGCACTTGTCTTCTCATAACAAATATTTTTTCATTTAAGATCTAACTTGAAAAATTTCAATTAATTTAATAACAAGGAACTAACTTATAGTTTTAAAAAAATTAAATTATAATTTACTCTAATTATTGTCTCTTAAAACCTATAACTTAATACAAATTTTTATGGTTAGGACATAATTTTTCTACAAAACCAAGCCTTTGCATAAAAGGAAATTCCAATGAGATGCTTTTAGTTCAAAGAGCAAAACAACAAGGTACAAAAAGCATAACACAAATAACTTAGCTGAAAATAAACCTAGCTAACCAAAACAACAATTACTGTATAATTCAAAATAGCAGCTGTATGGGAATATAAAAAGGATATGGTGTAAATTATAAATAAGAAAGAATCATAGAAAAAAATTCTTCAATTAATAAAATTGATTATTAGCTATTTCATCAATTCTTGAACTGTTAAAACATAAAACCAGCATAACAATCATCAGTTCATCTTGATAAGGTAAATGTGCTTACTATTTAATCATAGGCATCTATTCCTTCACTATCTAACAGTAAAAGATTGTACTGAGTTCCATCAAGGGCAGTTCTCTAATGTGGCAGTTCCTTTTGTACATGGCCAATGAGTGAATGCTACTTGAAATCCATTATTCCTACCAAGAAGCTACAATACACAAGTCCATCTCTTAGTTAATAACTGACACATGAGGTCAGTTGCAGAAATGGAATGTCATAACAAATAACTCTAAAATAAGCTTTAACAAACAAAATTCCAGTAGACATTCATTGATAAATCTACTAATGTACTTCTTAGGTAAAGGAATTGTGCATAACATCTTAAACCCATCTAGTTATAACAATTGCTACTCTTTAAAACAAATCCAGTTAAACTATGAAAAACATAAAGCATATCCAAGTTAAACTATTAATTTTTAATATTTTTTGGCACTTGTCTTCTCATAACAATTTTTTTTCTTCTAAGATCTAACCTGAAAAATTTCAATCTTAAACATGATTCATTTTAAAATTTTAAAATAACTAACATTTAATTTATAATAAGGAACTAACTTATGGTTTTCAAAAACATAATGACTAACTTATAAAATCATAAAAAATGCATAGACTAAATTATAATTAACTCTAATTAACAATGATAGTAGATGCAAAAAATGGTAACAGTTTGTATAAAAACAGTAAATGACAAGTAGAAAAATTACATGAACAAATGAAGCTGGATGCATTAAATGATATTCCTTGTAAATAACATGTAATATAAAAGCACAAGACCTCAAAAGGACAAAACATGAAAGAGACCATAGTAAATAATAGTAAGAACACAATACATTGCTTTCGTACCAAGAAGAACCCAAAGGCTAATTAATTATTGAGGAAGATAACTTGATGCCATGCTTAAAAACCTAAGCCATCATATTGAACAAAGTCATGTCAGGACCCAAAAATTAATAAAAAAAAAAAAAGCCAAATAACAAAGCAAGCAATAGGTACTGTAACAAAATGAGTAAATATTACAGATTTTTATCCAAAATTCAATAGCTGAAGCATACATATAGATGAAACATATAGCCAGTTCCAAACTCCTTATTATATCTAGAATGACTTTGAGTTGAAAAAAATAAAATAAAAAAATAGTTAATTTAAGGAAATTTTTAAAAAGAGAGAGAATATTAAATAAATAAATAAAATTAAATAGTGTAATTACTATATTTCATGTACTAAAAAATCATGTCCCATTTCTTACATTGTTTCTTGAACTTTTTTAAAGTCTCAATGTAACTATCATATTAAAATATAATTAAGAGCATTTTAGATTAAAAAAAATAGTTAGGGTTTGGGATACTGCATCCTTACAGGTGGGTTGCTAGTCTAGCTAGGCAAGGAGAGAATAATGGACATTAATTAGGGGGAAGGAAGGATTAAAAAGAAAAGTTAGATACCATCTAACATTTTTAGTTGAACTGAATTAAAAGCCTGCCACCTAAACCATTTGGTGATAAAAATGTTTCCAAATCATGCATGCTGACCCCAAGATAGGACAATCAAGTGAAAACAGACAACATATATAGCTAATGTGGGAAATTAACTGAACACCATGCATGGAGGAAGCAACCATGAATTCTAACCTCTTTCACTACACAATTCTACTACTTATATATATAACAAGAAAAATAGCAAGAAAAAAAAAGAATGAATGAAGATACAAAAATAAAACATCAATCTTATTAACGAAACACAACATCAACAAGCAAGTTTTATTATATATATATATATAAGCATATGAATACATTCAAAATACCTAGGTGTCGGCGCACAAGAGGACAAAAAGACTTGCAGACATCAAAGAACACCCAGCATCGATAATACTAATTGTTAAAAATTAAATTGGGGGTTTTGATAAATTTTCAATTAAACATGTATAATTTCCATAAATCACTCTCTTCCAGACACAAGAATTGCCAGCATTGGTCAAGTTGCATAAAATCATTCAATTTATGAGTCGTAACCCTAAAAATTAATTTGGGGTTTTTCATAAATTTTCAATTAAACATGCATAATTAGGTTATAAATCATGGTAAAAACATTTCATAAACCTTATATTATCGAATTAATAGCCTAAAATCATTATTCAAAGTATCAGAAAAATAATTGTTACCGGTGTTCTTCAGTTACAGGTGAGGGAGATGGATCAACATGACAGAATAACACCTGAGATTGGGAAAGTTAGGTTAGAACTATTTAGTGTAATTTAAATTGCAACAAAAAAACAAAAACTCTAAATTAATTACCTGAGCTATTGAAGAAAAGAATGCAAAACCTAACACGTTTACAAAGAAGGGGTAAATTAGGATGTTCGATGGTGATGATGATGGATCTGGTGCGATGTTGCCATGGGTCTATGTTTTTGTGGTTTACAGAGAAATATTGAAACTGTTAAGAAGAAGGAGAAGAAGATGAAGAAAAAAAATTAGGGATGCTGAAGACGAATGCGAAGATGATGAATAGTTTGGGATAAAGGAAGATGAAATCGATGAAGAGAGGGTGATTTTTCAATAGTTAGGGATCGATATTGTTATTAGGGAAGAAGGATACACTAGAAGAGTGGAAGTTGACATGACGAAAAGATTGATGTCTTCTCCCAAGTGCAGGAGTGTCGAAGTAATAAATAACCCGGCAAGACCGGGGTCGAACCACAGGGAGGTTAATTGTACAAATTATAAATAACAATAATACAACAACAATAACAACAACAACAACAACAACAACAATAATAATAATACTAATACTAATACTAATAATAATAATAATAATAATAAATAAATAAATAAATAAATAAATAAAAAGAAGGAGAAAAAGAAGAAGAAGAAGATGAGAACTTTGAGATGAAATATTAACGTAAAGATTTAACAATGATAACAAACAATGTCAAGGTTAGAGGATCCACTAATGGTATGTCAAACAAGTATAGTATAAACTCTTATTATTCAATTGGAAACCACACACAAAGGAGGTTCCAATCAGATTATCGATTGTTAACATGATTACATTAGTCATCTTATTCGATTAATGCTAATACTTGTAAATGTCGTCAAGCATTCATGATTATAACTTATATTAACAACAAATCAAGTTCCTTTCATAGCTCAGGTGTCGGTTATACCATACAGTATGGGCTATGAAAGTGCCAAGCATTTGTTGTACCAAGTGTTATACAACATAAATCAAGATTAGTCATTTAACAAGCAAAGTATTAAAGAGTAAAAAACATAACAAATATAAAACATGTTAGTATCAAACATTAAAGTCCATATTAAGTTTACACTATACTTATTCTTACACCATTAGTGTAACCTTTTCACCTTGACATAATAAACTTAGTTAGACATAATGAAAGAAAGAAAAATAAATAAACAAAATAAGAACATGAATAAGATTAAAGTTAACTAAGTAAGTGAAAGGAAATGAAAGGCATAAACTTGATATTAATGAAAGCAAAGCATAAACATTACAAAAAATACAAAGAGAGAAAGGAAGAGCATGATCTTGATCTGGACACCAAGATGCCTAAATGCATGACAAATGCCTCCTTTTATAGGCCAAATTTGGGAACTATTGATTTGATGACTAATTGATAAGTGGGTGGCCAACTCTTGACTTGGTGACAATCCTTATCTTCTTTTGTTTGCCCAAAACGTCATTGATAACGTCAAAATTGGAGCCACTCAAAAACATGAAAGTTGTAGGAAATTGTCTCAGCTATCTAGTGTAAAAACGTCAGCTTATTTGGACTTCTAGAACTCCAGATATGGCCAAAATACAAAACAGTGCTCGGGCTGGAGGACATATTCAGGCTTTTTTGTTGTTGCTACAATTTGGACTTGAAAATGGCCTTTTTAGATCTTAGGCTTCATATGAAAGTTGTAGGCCTATGTCTTACCTTTCCATCCATATAAAGTGGACTTAAATCTGAGATCTATAGCTCCAGATATGACCCAATTACCGAACAGTATTCTGGTTTGGATTGCACCGACATCTCTTTTCTAAGTTTGGCCATCTCTTTATCCTTGCAATTTAAGTTCTTAGAGTCATCGATCAATCCTTTCATTTATGTGATAGGCTTGCATTTAAAATGAATATTTACCACAAATTAAAGGTATCTTATATTATTAGATATATTATTATAAAACATGCTTTAGTTAAGGAGTTATTGATACTTCAAGTGCAAAATAATGATATAAAACCATGATAAAAATGCACTTTTAAGTACTAATCACACCCCCCAACCAGCTTATTACTAGTCCCTAATAATCAAAGCATTAAAATAGAAAAAGAAATTTACAAATTCTACAAAGCAAGGTATTCATCATTTAACTTCCATTAATCTATCAAGATAAACAAACTCTCATTAAATTTATATATCTGCTCAATACCTCTTAACAAGATATTAATAAACCTTTCTTTTGTGCTCAATATATCAACACATAATTATGGGGCTTTTCTTGGAAGAAAACAAAATTTTTGTTCTAATGTTTAAGGTTAACTTCCTTGGGTTGGGATTATTATTTTTGTCTTCTTTTTTTTTCTTTTTTTTAAATGTATATACATATAATTTAAAAACATCATGCATCTTTAACACATGTAACGAGCTTTTAGCTAATGACTCCAAGACTAGTTGGTCTTAGGGCATTAAGTGTTAAGACACCCCTACGAGCTTAGTAACTCGGGTTGCAGTTACTGATATGTAGATAGTGCAATGTTTGATTCCCTTAAGCTTTTCTCCTCAACCCATGTAACAAGCTTTGGGCCAATAGCTCCCAAGTTAGTTGACTTTAGGGTATTAGGTGTTAAAACACCCCTTCGAGCTTAATTGCTTAGGTTAGGGAGGCTACGAAACCAAACTTATCTACATTTTTATTATCATCATTTTTTTTCTTTTTTTTTCTTTTTTTTTCTTAATTATATACAATCCCTTTCCCTTAGTTGTTACCTTTAACAAAATAACATAAATAATGTAATAATCCAATATGCAACCCATAATCATATGTTAAAGTGTGTGTGTGTAAATTAAGGTTTAAGAATACATGTTAAATAAGTATATGAGCAGAATTAAGTGATAACAATGCGAGAGTTTGTAAACCTGAATATTTAAAGAAGTATTATAATAGACTTTGTTAAGAATGGTTACTAAGATGCGTCTCATTGATAACGGAAAGGGTCGTTTAAGATGTTGCTTGCAGCTGTTGTTTGTCTGGACTGTGAGTCACATGATTGAGGGGAAGATTTCAGGTTTGGTTGGTACCCCATGAAGTAGGAAGAACTACATGGGAATCAATGTTTCTGAGTCTAAGTAAATCTCAATTTCATTGGAGGAGTCGATATTCTTTCTTCAAATCTTATATGGCATACTGTGGTGAGTACCTATGGGTCTCGTTGATAGGAGCTCGCTACTGTATTAGTTATTGTCCTAACATGGTTTTACGACAGTTTGGATTTGAGCAGTTTATTCCAAGGACTATCGAGCTGGCAACATTTTATGAAGATTTCAAGACCTCGAAGAAATTATTCGAGTCAGTGAAAAAGGCATGGAAACATCCTGGTAGGGTTACTTCTACTAAGAGAGTAGAAGGAAAAACAACTAAAGGGTATCCAATATGGCAAAAGAAGAGAGGGAAAGGATACAAAGTTCCTCCATTTGAAGGGTCATCCAGGTCTTTGATTCAATCTGCTGAAGACATACATGAAGAAGATCGTGCTCAACAAGAATCTTATAACCTAAATTTGAATGCTGAAGTGAAAGAGTTAGCAGCTAAAAGAAGAAAGTTAGCATGTAATCTAGCCATTCGAGAAAAAGCATTGGCTATCACAAAACAGGAAAAGGATGACTTGTCAACTCAGCTACAACATCAACAACTTGAGTTCCAGCAGCTACAAGAAAAATATGCACTTCTATCAGAAGATAAGAGGAAGCAAGATGTCAACATGAAGAGATGGGTTAGAAGAGCATCAAAATCTGAGGAAATGGCATTAAAGTTGGAAGAGGCAAATAAATCACTTCAGGAACAGTGTCAAAATCAAGATGCAGTAATTGCCAATTTATATGAGCAGGTGGACCATTTGCTTTCCATTGAGCAAACCTTATCATCAGAAAAAGAAAATGCAGAAAAAGAAGCAGAATGTTGGGCTTCTGAAGCTATGCGCTATCATGTACAAGCAGATGATACCAAGAATTATACTTCAGGATTAAAAAGCATAGCCCAACAAATAGCAGATGGTGAGCCAATGACTAGAAATGAATTCCATCAGTTTTTTGGGTTAATCAGAGATGGAATTAATGAGATCGCAGCATATGACGGTCCAAGGCTTTGGAAAGATTGACTTGTTGTAATTCTAATATTGTAAACCAATAAAAGACAATTTCATCATCTTTTCATTATGAGAAATGTTTATTTTGATATAGATTTATGGCATCAAATTTCTTCCCTAAATCGGTTCAAGTTCCTGTAGGTTTGGAGTCCTCAGTGAGAACTTTCTTAAGAGAATCTGATCTGGTTTGTTCCTCATCATAAGTTAAAGAAAAACCTGAAACAAATAACAAGCATGCATCATCCATATGGCATTTTGCATCCATTTATGCATTTTATTCATTTTACTTGCATTCACTCAAGTTGAAATATAGGTCCCCCAAAAGACCATAAAATTCATTACACTCGACTACGAAGAAAGATAATGGAGAACAAAGAAAGAGCACATCTAGAGGCTCACTATCAAAGGGAGTTGGAGAGCATGAAAAATGATATCGCACGACTTACAAGTCTACTCGAGCAGGCCCTGGTATCCAAGTATGGAGAGGATACCTCTACTCAGCCAGCAGTTGCAACTCCATCTGTATCTATGCCAGTAGCTCCTTTTGTATTCACTTCTTAAAATTTAGGGGCAAATCCTTCTTCATTTGAACAACAGTTCACTACCAATGTTCCACCAGCATAAGTGCCGATTATAAACTTGACAACTGATGACTGAATATGATAAATTGACCGCTCTAGAAGAAAGATTGAGAGCATTCGAAGGGGCAGACTTATATGATCCCGTTCATGTTGTAGAGATGTGTTTAGTCCCAAATGTAGTTATACCCAAAGAATTTAGGGTACCGGAATTTATCAAGTATACTAGAACTGAATGCCTAGTCACTCATCTTAAATCTTATTGCAATAAGATGGCAGAAGTGGTGAATGATGAGAAACTTCTCATCCATTTCTTTCAATACAGTCTTTTTGGATCAGCATTAAGCTGGTATACAAGGCTAGATAATACAAAGATCAGAAAGTGGAAAGATCTGGTCAAAGCTTTTGTGGAGCAGTATAAATTC